TGACATCAGGTCTAGAACGCCTGACATCAGGTCTAGGACGCCTGACATCAGGTCCAGGACGCCTGACATCAGGTCTAGAATGCCTGCCATGACGCCTAGAATGCCTGACATCAGGTCTAGAACGCTTGACATCAGGTCTAGAATGTCTGACATCAGGTCTAGAACGCTTGACATCAGGTCTAGAACGCTTGACATCAGGTCTAGAACGTCTGACTAGAACGCCTTACATCAGGTCTAGGACGCCTGACACCAGGTCTAGAACGCCTGACATCAGGTCTAGGATGCCTGCCATCACGTCTAGAATGCCTGCCATCGTGTCTGGGACGCCTGTCAATCGGGTTCATGTAGAAAGTGGGCCAGGATAAAAGATCTATCTTATTATTAATAACGAAGTTGTGAATGTGGCCACCAGCAGGAGACCACTTCAGATGACTGTTTGACCTGGCTCTTAACCTTCGAGGTCAAAGTAAACTGGTCCATGACCCCATCCACTGCGCTGGTCACTAGGTCAGTCTTATCAGCCCTTGTAAAAAAAAAAAAAGGGGGGGGGGGGGGAGTGTTTATTTACTAAGTAAAGAAGAGAGATTGTGAGGGAGATAGAGAGACAGACAGATATGGAGAGAACAAGAGGGAGACAGGGAGAAAGAAAAAAGCGAAAGACAAGAGCGAGATGTAGTGAGTTTCTCTCACACTCACCGTGTTCGCGGTCTCCTTTGAATGTTGACTCAGTCGTCTCGTCCTCTCTTGACCTTGACCGTGACCTTGCTGATGATGGCCGCCCTTTCTCGCCAAGGAATCGCCATGGCCTTCCTGGTGGTGACTGAACGTGTGGGCGTGGTTATCGTGGGCGTGTTTATCGTGGGCGTGGCTGTCGTGGGCGTGGCTGTTCCTCCTGGACGGTGATTGACTGGCATTCCTCCTGTGTTCATTATGATGCGACGCCGGGTCTGTGCTCATTTCTAGGATTTTTTTTTAAAAAACCGTATAGGAGCTGTATGTCTCCCCTGAAGCGAGCCGATGGCACCTGGACGAAGCTTTATATAGGTAGGCGTTTTGAAAGGGAACTTCCTTTAATGGCGGTGCATGTGTCCTCTGAAGATGAATTAGACACAAACTATTTGTGTTAATTAAACAATATAGGTTCAGCTTTAATTACGATTGCAGACAAAATACAAATGTAGACGTTTCGGTAAAAAACTAAGTACAAAAACAAAAAAAACAAAAAATTTAAAAATCATATAAGTATTTACAATATATATATACATCATATACAGGTATCCTCCTACCTAAAAAAGAGAGAAGAGAATAAGAGTGCATGGGCGCAAAACGAGCAAAAAGAGCAACCCTTGAATAATCTGAGTGTCAATAGGCCCCAATATGATTTATATACAAAAGTTGTTTAATTTTGTTTGTTGTTTTTTTCAAAACTATCTCCTATCGAAATATTGCAATCTTATATTAATATCATTTAAATGCTGCCTTGGCCTTGATTAATGAACTAAATATATTTGAATCAAACGAAGGCCCCACGCTGAAAAAAATAAACGTGTAAAATCTTTCACTACTGTCACACATGAGATACATCAAGTGTAGTTGAATCAAGAAAATGACACATACTGAATATCCAAGCCAAGATAATTTGTGTACTACCTTTCACTCTTGCGTCACATTCGCTAAATGAACTGCTAAAACACTGTAAATTCTCATACAAACAGCTCCCTCCCCCACGTGCCCCCCCCCCCCCCCCTTTTTTTTTTTTTTTTGGTAGCACCCCCTCCATAGACCATAATCCTCCTGTCTTGTTGAGTTCTAATTGCCTGGTGACAAGCACGAGCTGTTATCACAGAAATGTAGGGAAGGTAAAATAGATCTGTATAAATAATGGAAGGGTGGGGTGCGAAGGGTTGCTTTTAAGCCGATACCTGGGCTGTAGAATAAGCTAATGGAGGGCCCACACGTGTAAGACCCATTGCTATATGGCAACAACAGTTTGTTTTTGGTCACGGGTGCTCAAGTTATCATCCTTGAGTATTTGGCGTGCTCCCTACTAGATTG